CCCCCACATCCACAGGCGCACGGGGATGACTCGGGGAGCACCCGGGCACCCCCACATCCACAGGCGCACGGGGATGACTCGGGGAGCACCCGGACACCCCCCACATCCACAGGCGCACGGGGATGACTCGGGGAGCACCTGGGCACCCCCTGGCTTCGTCCATACCACTGTTACTTTCTGAAAACTCTCGGTGGGGTCTCACTGGGCCCTGGGCTGGGTGGGCGGCCTTTAGGAAGCAGGCGTCCTCAGCATCTCCCAGCCCAGCCCCAGGAGGCTGTGTGAACACAGGAACTCTTGGCCTCTTTGTGCCCACCTGCCGGAGGCAGCTTTGTGGGGCCCTGGCCCCAATACCTGCCCCGAACAGCCAGCAGCATCGGGCTGAGGCCATCCGTGTCCCGGGCGTTCACATCCACACCTCCCTGCAGCAGTATGGCGACGGCCTCTGTGCGCCCTCCCCGGGCAGCCGCATGCAGTGGGGTTTGGCCATTAAAGTCCACCAGGCTCAGGTCACTGCCCTGGGATGACACGAGGACATGTGACCCCTGAGCGAGGGCCGGGCAGGGCCAGGTAGGCCATGGGGAGGGTGGGGTCCCTCTGAGGATGGGGCCCAGCACAGCCCCCATGCCCACCCTCAAAGCCGCAGTGAGACCCCACCAGCTGGCAGGACGGCCCCACTGCCCAGTCTGGCAGACGAGGGCTTAGTGTGGTCAGTGGGTGGATGAGAGGCCTTCCTGCCTGCAGGGGTCCAGAGCTCCCGGGCCAGGCATGGCTGGGGCTGGGCCCCGGGTGGGGGAGGCTCACCAGCTCCCCCAGTGCCTGCAGCACCTCCAGGTCACCGGCTCGGGCGGCAGCACAGGCCAGGCTGGGTATCAGGGCGCTCCGCAGGGCATCCGCCTCCTGGGTGGGGAAAGCGGCACCCTGGAACACACACCTCCCTCTGGCGTCCAGCGGAGCCGGCGGTCCCTGGTGCTGTGTGACCCCTGCCAGCCAGCACACAGGGGGCCGAGGAGCCCAGGGTGTGGGTAAGAAGGAACCTGAGCTGCCACGTTGGAAGGCCTGGGCTTGAGCCTCACTACCCTGCCCCACCCAGGCCCACCTAGGACCCCTGCCTCGGGAGCCAAGGCCAGGCCATGAGGCCACCATCCGGCCCTGTCCTCACCAGGTATGTGGCCAGGGCCTGCCACTCACCCTCCAAGACTCACCCACCTGTCCCCACCACTGTTGGAACAGAATCGTAAGTTACCTGCGTGAGGGGAGCTTGAGAAGGAGAGCCAGGCCCCTCCCCTGGAAGAAAGGCCCTGCTCCGACAGCTGCACCTTCCCAGAAGAACCACCTGCCCCCAGCACCTGGCATCCAGGAGCTCCCCAAGATGCCAGAAGGCTGGGGTCCTGGCAGAGGCCCCACAGGTGCCACCATGCCCAGCAGGCATGGCATGGCCTGGTGACCGGGCTGCCGCCTCTGGCCTGCCTCCATTGAGCATTCAGGATTCATGCAGCCACCCTAACCACCCCACACACACCAGCCCCTTCCATCTGCCCATCACCCACCCCAGCAGTGGCAGCAAATGGCTCACAAGACAGGACGATCCCTGCATGGGGGAAATTGAGGCCCTGAGGTGGGGAGCAAGGCTGTCTGGCCCGCCGGGCCCCATGTCAGGCCTGGATGCTTCACCCAGTAGCCAAGGGGGCATTTGTAGGGTGCATGGAGGCCCCATTCCCTTCAGACCCCAGGCCTTGAAAACACCCCTTCCTAGGACTAGGTACCCCAGTTGTGCAGAGGACATGCTCAAATGCTGGCCCTCATCTCTGGGTTCAGGTGGGGACCTGGAACCCCTGAAGCTCAGAGCCTGAAAGAGCTCAGAGGAAGTACCCACCATCCCCGACACCCACCCGTCTCCCGGACAGGCAGCTCCCTAGGCAGCCCCACACTAAGGCAGTGCTGCCAGTCAGAAGGCAGCAGCCTGCCAAGCCCTGGCCCCCGGGTCCCTGCTGCCTGCCCACTGCCTGGTCCTTCCTGCATGCTACCCCATGGACCCTGCAATGCCTCCTCCTGGGCCCCAGAACCCGGGTGTGCCTGTCTGTTTGGGCTGCCTGGTGCGTCCCACGGGGACCAAGAGGGTGTACAGCCCCCAGCTGCCACTCAGGCCCACATGCCACACCATTACCTGGCCACCACTCAGACTGAGGAGCCAGGAGACCCCACAGCCCAGCGTGGTGCCCTGCAGTGAGGGCCAGCGCTCCTCCGCCGAGGGTGGTGTCATCTCCCCACGAAGGTCTTTGGCCAGCAGCTGGGGAAGAGAACAGAGGCGAAGTGGCTCCGTGAGGGCCGGATGAGCAGCCCAGAATATCCTGGAGGGCCAGGCTCCCGGGGTACAGGTGGGGGTGCCCTCGGCCTGAGCCTCGGCCATGTGTGCTCCATCCCTCGGGCCCCCTCACAGGGCCAGACCCACTCCCCAGCCCTACAAGTTCAGGGGCTCCAGGGGCCCCAAAGGCCTCTGCCCAGCCCCAGGGGCTGGCAGCCCAAGGGTCTGGGGCCAGCTGGGTCTGAGCCCTACCCTCCAGGAAGAGTGGAGGCAGGGGGGCTTTCCTGGTGACAGTTTGGGGAGCCTCAGTTCTCAGCGCAGGCTGAGAAGGCACCAGGACAGATGGAGCCTGGGCTGGGGGTCGAGTGAGGGCTGGGGGGTGCCTGGGCCCGGATGGGGCCACATCCCTCCCTTCCCAAACAGGGCACACCCTGGGCCGGCCCATCTCTTCCTGTGTCACCCCAGGCATGCCCCTGGGAGCCAGCTGACACACGTGTGCACACCGAGAGGACCCCACAGCTCGAGGACGCCCGCACCTCCTTCCTGTCATCCAGGCTCAGTCCCGGCTGGCCCAGCACATACGACAGCTTGGCCAGGGCAGCCTCTGACGTCATGTCGAAGCCTGAGATGACGCCAGCCCCCACCATGGCCTGCAAGGAGGGGGCATGTGGGCAGGAAGGGCACTCACCCCGGCCCGCAGCCTGTGGCGGGTGGGTCAGAGCCCGCCCTGCCATCCCCTTCCCTGCTAGGCCCTGCTCTCCCGGTCCTACCATGCCCGCGGCATAGTCCACGGTCACAGTCCCTTGGAGGCAGTGGGTACAATTGACAATGACCAGGCCGCGCCCGGTCGCCACCCTCAGCTCCTGAAGCAGGTCGGGCTTGCTGGGTCCGTTCCCTGAGCCGAAGGTCTCCATGACGACGCCCTTCATGGGAGGCTGCAGGAACGCCCGAACCTGTGGGGCGGTGGGGGCTGGATGGTGAGGGACTCTGCCCTGGGCACCACCGATGCCTGCCCTGTGCCCTCCCAAGGAGAGGGACCCCAAGCCAGAAGCAGCCAATGCCCACTCTGCTCCCAGGAAAATGGGGCTCCCAGCAGGCAGGCATGGCTGCTGCCATCTAGAGGGGCTGCTCCCCCCACATTCTCCCAAAGGGCTGCCCTATCTGTGCGGACGAAGGCCTTCTGTGGCAGAACACCGCGGAAACATCTGAGAGGTGGGAGAGGAGCTGAGAAGGCCACCAGAGGCCCCAGTGCTAACACCCCTGCCCAGCACAGCAGCGGGGCCGAGCCAGCTGGAATCTGGGGGAGGAGCTGCCACCAGGCCTGCATGGAGGACCCGTTGGTCCGGCTATGAGCCGCATACCAGCCCTGCCCGCTCCCTGAAGGCTGGAAAGCACCGAGCACAGGAGACAGGGGACAAGGGACGGGGATGGGGAACAGGGGACAAGGGACAGGGCCTTGGGCCAGTGGGCCACACTGTGGACATCTCAGGTCCATGTGGGGTCTGCCCTGGCTGGTGAGGGCCCCAGGGAGCCTGGGAGC